GAGATAAAATCAAACAAATATCCGTTGCCTCTAATATCAGATCAAGTGAACAGACTCGGTGGGGGGTAAATACTTCTCTTGCTTAGATATGGCTAGTGGATTCAGGATGCAGGATCCATAGAGCTTTTGTAACCCCTGAGGGCCAGTATGAGTTTTTATCTATGCCATTTGGGCTGAAGAATGCCTCTTCGATTTTTTAGCGAGCTATAGCGCGAGCACTAGGTGCCTTGTTCCTATTCCTATTCGTATTCCTATGCAATTGTTTATATTGATGATGTAGTAATAGTAGCGAGAGCAAAAGAGGAAGCATTTGAAAGATTGACAGTCGTGCTAGGGGCGCTATCGGAAGCAGGATTTTCATTTAATATATAAAAAAAATGTTCTTTTCTGAAAACCGAAATAGAATATCTTGGCTACATGGTCAAGAACGGTAGTATTGAACCAAATCCGCGAAAAATACAAGCTCTGGCTGGACTATCTCAACCTAAGAATATTTCACAATTGAGACAATTTATAGGTTTAGCGTCGTACAAAATAGACGGCAAGACTAGAGTGATTGAATTTTTTAGCAAATGTACATCGCCCTCAGAATCGAAGTATCATTCTTACGAACTAGAGGCGAGTGCTTGTCAGCGTATACAAGGCTGCAACGCTGGGCATATTTACAATCATTTGACTTCACTGTAGAGTAGCGCAAAGGAAACAGCATGGCGCACGTGGATTTTTTATCCAGAAATCCGATTGTCACTGAATGTGAGACAATGAATAGGATACCCGAAGTTCGCATCGATTTGACAGAGGTGACAGACAACTGGCTTGTAGCTGAGCAGCAGCGTGATTCGTGCTTAAGGGAAATTATAGCCCAGTTGAATGATGGAGAGATGCAGGAGAGTTTAGCGAAGACGTATGAGTTAAGGGCCTGAATTCTATATCGGAAAATTCAGAGAAATGGAAAGACACGCTGTTTACCTGTAATCCCAAGAGCCTTTAGGTGGTCTGTAATAAATCACGCCCAAGAAGCAATCATGCATTTGGGGTGGCAGAAAACGTTAGAACAGGTTTACGAACAGTATTGGTTCGAGCACATGTCCAAGTATGTACGAAAATTCGTAGAGAACTGCATAACATGCCGACTAGCAAAGCCTTAAACAGGGAAAATTCAAATAGAATTGCATCCAATTCCGAAAGTTGAAATACCTTGGCATACTGTGCATATTGATATTAGTGGAAAGCTGAGTGGTAAAAATGATACCAAAGAATATGTCATAGTACAAGTAGACGGATTTACTAAATTTGTTCACTTTTATCATACTATGTATTTAAGGCATTAAGGTATTAAGGCTGTAAAACCAACAATATCACTTTTTGAGGTACCTAACCGTATTATAGTAGATCAAGGTAGGAGTTTCGCCTGTCGGAAGTTTCGTGAGTTCAATGCACCAAATAGAATTACATTTTATAGCAACAGGTGCAAGTAGGCAAGAGCCTGTAACTGTGGTTTGATAACGAAGATAGCCAAATGGGCGGGTTTGCGCAGAAGAGTTCGAGCTACTGAGAGATTTATACCAGGTCAAGTCGTAAGCACAAGTGTAGAACCAGAAGTGTTCTGTCATGGCGTTTGGCGCGGTTGACGGGTATGGTAAGTTTGTCTTCCTGAATGATGTGGGAAAGCAAGATAGCCTGCGAAATCGACATTTGATGACGTAGTTTGTGAAGTTGTGTGTGAATACTATTTGTTCTGATAATAATGATGTTGAGAGTAAATGTAAATTAAACTGTAAAGCGTGTATCGTGTATAAAGAAACTAAGCAACAAGTTATTTGTGGTTCCTTTTACTTGCATAATTGCTGAGAGCGAGGATTGAGAATAAGAGAGAGTGTCGTCTCAGCCGAGTGTGACGCTGCCGAGTGTTGGAAATATTGTTCCGATTTTTTTAATAATTGTTAAATCGATATTGACATAAATATGTTATACAAGGTCAAAAGAAAACATACACTATAATATTATGGACGCCACAGTTTCACAACTTTCTAGCTCTAATAGTTCCCAAAATTTTATCGTTTTTGGTTTTCCGGGTTTTGTAGGCGTGGTTGGATGGGACAAAAAACCATTCGCATTGGGAGCATCATTAAACAATTTTTGTGCGTAAAAATTACGTTTTCGTGTTATTAAGGAAATTATAAAGTATTTAAGTTAAAGCTTGTTAATTTTATGTTTAAAATATATGCTTGAAATGTATATCTTTCATTTGAGATATTACATTTTAATTTCAGTTACGTATTTCTCGAGATATTAAGGAATAAACTTGATACTCATGGGTATACGTATAAATTATGTGCCGACTGTATACGAGGTGTGTTCAAAAAGTAAGGTGACTCTTCAAATTTCGCGAATTTCAAATTTTTCGATTATCGATTTTTTTGTTTTGTTATATTGGTACACTCTTCCCTAACATCTGTACCAAGTTTCAATGGAACATCCTCTTTTGTTTGGTTGTGAGAGGCGTAAAGTTACAAGTTGTTTTGCGAGCTCGGCGATTTTTTGCTATCGAAAAATATGGATCAAAGGATTTGGATTTTTTGGCCAAAAACAACACCACAATAATGCCTCAGCCACCATATTCACCGGATTTGGCCCCATGTGACTTTTTCTTGTTCCCAAAACTGAAGATAATCGAAAAATTTGAAAAATTTGAAATTTGAAAAGTCACCTTACTTTTTGAACACACCTCGTATAACTTCTAAAAGGTTTCGATAATCGAAAAATTTGAAATTCGCGAAATTTGAAGAGTCACCTTACTTTTTGAACACACCTCGTATGTATTAAAATTATGATAGTGCAACACCGGAGACATTATCTGCACTCGTCTGGACTTCTAAATGTTGATTTTTCTAAATGATAGATTACGTATTTTTAACGTTTGAGCACAAGTTTTCGCCGCAGTCGTTTTATTTACATAATTAAAAAAGTTATAATGCTTTAAATTTAAGATTTCTGTTCAAACTCAAATCATTTAAATCAAAACGCCACTTAAATTTTAATTGTATTTTATAACTGCACGAAATGTGTTCCAATCCGCTGTATAAGAACACACAATAAGCCACGCAACATACAGTGGCTCCAAGCTTATTTCGTGCAAGAAAAAATCGAATTTTTAATTTGATAGTGCTACTAAACCAGCAGAGGTATCAAAAAAATTTAAACGCAGTAATGTTAAGAATGTCGCATATTATTAAAATAATAACAAAAGTTTTTACTAATTTAAAAAACAAAAGAATTTTTCATACAAAAACTAAAAAATAGGGCAGCTCCGACGCACAAGCTTATTTCGTGCAAGCACTTTAAGGGTTAATAACTCTAAACTAGGACTTTTAAATCCATTTTTTTTTCTTAATACTAGTAAAACTATATTAACAAAAGCATATTTATAAGTTTTCGAGGCTGGGGGCACCCAAAAATTACGGATTAACGAGGATTTTCAAACTATGGCGCCACGAATAATAGTCAATAGTTTGTTGAGCAAAGCGAATTAGTCCTTAAACATTTTAAGGATGGGAAAACCCAGGAAATGGTTGCCTCAAGCCCTAGTACAAACCCATACATAACCCAAACGCTTTTTTACGAAAATCGGGGGGCAGAAAGGGGCGGTAATGCACCGAACAAAATTTTTAATGACCAGGAGGAGAGACGTATTGTCCCAAAAGTGAAGGAAAACCCCAAGCTATCGGCTCCAAAAATAGTTGAGGAGATCGAGAACGAAATGGGCAAAAATTGTTGCCCAGGTACAGTTCGGAACATTTTACAGAACCATAACTTTAATGGTCGAGTTCCTAGAAAAAAGCCCTTTATAAGTGCTAAAAATAAGTTGGCGCGCGTCAAATTCGCCAGGGAACTTGAAACTAGTCCGATTTTGGTCTGGAACGACGTTATGTTTGAGGACGAATGTCCTAATGTAATATATTTGGGTCCCAGAGGAGGAAATATGTTTGGCGGCGTCCCAATACAGAGCAACATTCAAAAAACAAAAAATCAGCGGCTAAGCACGGCGGTGGTCATGCTATAGTTTGGGCATGTATTACTGTGTCCGGCGCCGGAAATTTGGTTTTTATTGACGGAATCATGGATGCCAATAAATATTCAACTATTTTGAAAGAAAATTTGGTACAAAGCTTGGGGTTTTCCTTCACTTTTGGGACAATACGTCTCTCCTCCTGGTCATTAAAAATTTTGTTCGGTGCATTACCGCCCCTTTCTGCCCCCCGATTTTCGTAAAAAAGCGTTTGGGTTATGTATGGGTTTGTACTAGGGCTTGAGGCAACCATTTCCTGGGTTTTCCCATCCTTAAAATGTTTAAGGACTAATTCGCTTTGCTCAACAAACTATTGACTATTATTCGTGGCGCCATAGTTTGAAAATCCTCGTTAATCCGTAATTTTTGGGTGCCCCCAGCCTCGAAAACTTATAAATATGCTTTTGTTAATATAGTTTTACTAGTATTAAGAAAAAAAAATGGATTTAAAAGTCCTAGTTTAGAGTTATTAACCCTTAAAGTGCTTGCACGAAATAAGCTTGTGCGTCGGAGCTGCCCTATTTTTTAGTTTTTGTATGAAAAATTCTTTTGTTTTTTAAATTAGTAAAAACTTTTGTTATTATTTTAATAATATGCGACATTCTTAACATTACTGCGTTTAAATTTTTTTGATACCTCTGCTGGTTTAGTAGCACTATCAAATTAAAAATTCGATTTTTTCTTGCACGAAATAAGCTTGGAGCCACTGTACATTAACTACGTTAATGTTTCTAGCTATTTACATATGTATATAAAAGTTTCTGCCTCCCTTAATATAAGATAGCTATTCAACACTTGTTTACATTGGTACAAAGCAGATTTTAACGCGTCCATACATAGAAATTATTAGGTTCCATGATATCCAAAAAGTCATTTTTGTTATCATTTTTTATGTGTTCAATACGTTGTAAACTCGTATTGACGAACTTACTCAGCGAAATCGATCTCGTTCTCATCAACAATTGTGCCCGCCTTTTTATTATTTCCCCGTTTCTCTTTCTGATCTAGAGCAATACCGGATTCTATGTTCAGTTGGTCGACCTAAAATACTCAAAAATTTTAAATAATATACTAAAATTCATGTCAAATATATAGGTACCAGCTTAGACACTTCCTGGTCCTCTGCTTTCTTAACCCAATCACACATGTCCGTTTAAAAATAAGAAATCTTAATGAAAATCACTTCTTCCAAAACTCGCTGATCCAAGTGTGACCAAAATGTCATTCCGAAACAAACTATAAACGGAGAAATCAAATAAATGTATACATCCACTGCCATAATAGGGCACACACACTAGCGATAACTAACTGAAATCTGCAGTACACTTTCTTTCTGGAGTTTAGTTTAAGGATTGAAATTCATCAATAAGATTTACTCTTCTTTAAATTAAGCTTAATTTAAAAATAAAGTAAATAATATTATTTTTAGGCTTATTCTTCTACTATTCTATTATTATTTCTTTTGCGTTACATAAGTTTTCAATTGGATTGAGGTCGGGACTTTGAGCTGGCCACTCCATGACCTTAAAATTTTGTTTTGCCAACCATTCTTTAACTATTTTTGCAGTGTGCTTAGGATCTCCATCCTGTTGGAAAGTGATATCTCCTTCAGGATAGGCACACTTATCGAGAAAATTGTGAAGATGGGTCTTTAAAATGTTTAAATAGTCCTCTTTTCTCATTATTCCATCAATTTTGTGCAACGGCACAACGTGCCACCATGTGAAGCACCCCCAAGCCATTACATTTCCTCCTCCATGCTTTACGATTTGCTTTACATGATGTCTCTGAAGCTTGTCACCGGGCCTATGCCAATAATATTGCTTGCCATCCGACTGGAAACGGTTAAACTTGGATTCGTCCGACCAGATAACACGTTTCCAGTCTTCTATAGTCCAGTTTTTGTGTTTCTTTGCAAATCGCAACCGAGCCTTAACATTTTTCTCTGATAGAGCTGGTTTATTTTTTTTAACAGAGGCGACATATCCAATTCTAGCTAGTGCTCTTCTAGCTGTCCATCGACTTACGGTTTTATTTAACTCCGTAGAAGCATTTTTTGGTGATAAATGCTTATCCTTCCTCATGTTGGACATCATAAGTCGAGCGTCAGAGTCCGTTAGAAGACGGGGGCGACCATTCAACACACTTTCGGAATTAAAATTTTGTCTTTTTTTCACCTTGACCACCACTGACTGACTAATTTTCAGCTTTTCAGCAATTGTGCGTGTCGAACAGCCACTTTTAGTCATGAAAACAATACTATTTTCGGTATCTGCTGATAGCTTCTTCATTTTACAAATATAAGTTGGCGACTAATTTCTTAATTCATTAAAATTTACTTTGAACTATAAGAAATGTGCGACTTTCTGAATTATAACAACGAATAATGCATGAAAAAGACATAAAACAGTAAATCTGCAAGTATTTTGGTGAGAAAAAGAAATAGGGAGAGCAAAAACAAGTGCGAATAACGGAAGGTGCAAAACTGAGTACATGCCTCTTATTTTTGTTTTTGTTTTCTATCTCTTACATTTCTTCTTGTATTATTGTAGTATTTAAGTCTATTTCTTATAAATTGAATAAGTAATCGAGAAAAAAAAAGTTTGTTTCATTTGGTTCATTGGTTTACGTTTTATGAGCGGTTGAACATGCATATTCTAAACATGGAATCACTTTTGCTCCCCACTGTATATACTTTATAGGGATGGAAACTCTTCCTTATACGTATATCCACAAATATAATGTACGGTTTCACTTTACGAATAACGGGTGTAAGTACGAGTCTATTCCTGTTCTCGGCAAGTGACAAACCTAAAATTTGTCTAAGTCAGGTCCATTACGTTTTAACCCTAAATAAAGAGAAAAAGAGAATATCTCTTTTGGAGAACTATTTTGTATTAATATTATTTATTTTTGAGTCCTGCTGAAACCAGTCTCATTATTAAAATATTAGGGAAGGTTCTATTAAATACGAAGGTATCTCTCGAAATTCAACAGAAAAATCCGGATTCGCCATTACATTCTATTAAAACCTTTGAGGCTTTACACCTGTAAGAATGAAAATTAATAATCGCCTATACACACTGAAATAAAGATTTAATAATTATTTTTCTTTAATTAAAATGTTATAGAAAGGCGTTTCTTTTAAAAGGAATATATGCAATTGGATTTAATACGCCATAGAAAATTCAAGAAACAGCTGTGCCAACTCTTCTTGTGGATCCATCACAAAATATGATAGCACAAAGTCAGTCGGGAACAAAAAAGACAGAAGCATTAGTTGTGGCCATGCTTAGTCGTGTGAAAACATCGGCAGTAAAGGATCTTTAGAATACGAAGCAGGATTTTTCGCCAGTATCAAACGGTGTACCGGACTGCGTGCTTAGGTAATGCAAACCTCTTCTAAAATTATTTAGCTTTTCTTTTGAAATGTCCATGTTTCCCACTATATGGAAGGAATCCATAAACTATCATAAATAATCCGTAATTTTCACTTTAGTAAAGCATTTAAGCAAAGCCTTAAAGCCTTCTCTTGTGAAAACTTGATCTTGTTGAATTGCGTTGGAATCGCAATGACCTCTCTTGAAGGAGGCAACAAATTCTTTTCCTGTATTGCCTGAAAATCTGAAGTCGATATCAAGGTATATGTTTTATTTGAACCTATCAATATATAATATCTTTTTTGATAATTTTTTTCTTGTAGCGTAACCTACACTAGACAAAGAGTGTGTACATGAATGTTTAAATCTGTTTGGGAAATAAAACTTAGAAATAACCTCAACTTAATATATATTTGACCTACCGCAGTATCTGCTCCTTATTTCTATGTAGTGTCTGTGGCACCAAACTTAACGTAGTTCTAGACCACAATCAGTGTGGCCAGATATAAACAAAGTGTAAGCCGCGAATACAATTCAAACTGACCGATTTACTATCGGCACTTATCAAACTACCTCATCCGTTCCGCGACATCCCCACCCCCGTGAAGCAGCCGCATTCAAGACATCCAGAACAGCTAGCTTCGAACCGGGACGAATCATCCTTGCTCGGTCGTCAGTCCGTACTGCCGCTCCTCTGGGCACTCCATCTACTCCAGTGAACACAACCTCCACGATGCCTCGTTTCTTCATGGTATGACCGGATCGCAGATGAACACCCAGTTTCCTCGACGCAGGGGCTCGAGCTGCTCACACCATTTCTCCCTGCGCACAAGAGTAGGCAAATACTCGTGCTCCCATCCCTTCCAGAAGCGGTCTCTCATCATTCTGGCCAGTCGCCACTGCCTTTTCGTCGCGCACCTCTCCAAAGGCTTTCCATTATCTCCGGGTAGATCCGGCAGATTCGGTACTCCTTTCAACAAGACGTTGGGAGTCAGTGGGACTTCCTGATCCACTGTGACTGGCAAGTGCGTTAGTGGGCGGGAATATATTATGTTCCCCGCCTCGATCAACAGGTTCTCCAAACATCTTTCTTGGGGGCCAGTTCCCTCATCGTATGGGCTAGCACTTTCTTGACGCACTGGACCATCCTTTCCAAAGCGCCACTCTCAGCTGGGTTCGTCGGACAGTTGAAGATCCATTCGACTCCTTTCGACTATAGCTCGCCCTGGAACTTCTATGGCTCGAAAACATCAAAGAATGTCCGGGCCTCTCGATTGGCTCCAACGAAGTTTTTCCCATTACTGCTCCTCATCTTGACCACCTGTCCTCCCCGGCTCATGAAGTTCCTCATAGCGATGATGCAGGAATCTGTAGATAAATCATGAGCCATCTCCAAGTGGATGGCCCTTGTGGTTAAACAGGTGAACAATGCGACCCACCTGTTCTCGATGCGGCGTCCAATCGTCACGTGGAACGGTCCAAAATAATCCAAGCCAATGTACTTGAATGGCCATCTGTTGGCTTGCAAATGCAGCAGTCAGTCGCCACTTTCCATAGTAGCCTCCGTAAGTTCGTTATCCAGAACTTCTTCGGTATCTCGCCTATGGTGGCATCCTGGTTCCGATCTACCCTAATCTGATCCATCTACTCTTTGGCCAATTCTCTCCGGGTTCGTAGGAACGCCGGTCCGCATAACCATCGTGATCCTTGACTTAGGTCGACATGGAGTTGCGGCCGGGTTGTGTCGTCTGCCACGTTTTCAACAGTGGGTACCCATCTCCATTGGGATACCTCCGACGACTCCAGGATCTCTGCCACCCGGTTCCCAACAATCTGCTTGTATCGCCAGTGAGTGCTGCTTATCCAGTGCAGCATGGTCTTGGAATCTGTCCAAAGTACGCATCCGTTAATCTCCATAGTGCGTTCCTGTTTCACAGTGTTCATCAGCCGTGTCCCTTTGCTTGAAGCTCCAGTCTCGAGATTGACATCGTCCTCATCGAAGCAAATTTTGTTTTGGAACAATCTAAATTCGCGTGGACATTGTCGTTTCCGTTGGTGGCCCGCCAATGCGCCGACGCAGGGAACGCCGACTGGCTGGAGTCCAAAAAAACGTGAAACTGAAGTGCTTGTACTTGTCCGGACACCGGAACTCTCTAACATAGTTCATCTATTGCCGCCAGCTCTGCGGATAGCCCGCCTGGCAACGGCTCATCCCAGGTGACTCCTCTCCGCCAAATTTTTTGCATTAGTAGTTTGGCGGTAACCATGTAGCTGCTCAAAACCCGATCGGATCAAACGTGGACATTACTAGGCTGAGGAACTTTCTCGTGGTAGGGATGCGCTCCCCGGTCATTACGTTCCTGGGAACCCGACGGTATTTAACACTAAATCTGAAGTCATCAGTGGCCGGATACCAATACATGCGCAACAATTTTTGCTCGGATTCGGTCCAATCGACGTTCTCCTTGATGCCTAGCGGATTTAAGGCTCTGACCACTCTCGCCGAGCTGGAAGAAAACCGGCGCAGATCGAATCCGGCGCTTGCATGTATTTATATTACCCGGTTTGTAACGGTAATAGCTCCATTTTCGTCTGAGAAGCTGTCTACGTAATCGTCCACGTTGTGGTACTCATCTTTGGCCAGGACCGCCCGGGAACCTTGACGCGTTGACGGTCTTCATGTACTGCGCTGAACATGGCGAAGAAGCTGCTACAAACATGGCCGCCGCTGGCGGTTGACTGTAGAAACGCTGAAGGATTGCTCACTCTCATGGCGAACGATACAATCCTGCCTTGCGCTCCTGATTTTGCTGTTGTTTTCGCTCGCTCTCCAGTTGA